AAAATCTCATGATCTACCCCAGGCTTCCTAAAGCAGTTACCATGGGGATGAGGCCCTGAAATCTATGTTTTAAAAAGACTGCTAGGTGATCCTGATGCACACTCAACTCTGAGAACTTCTGACCTAGGTGAGTTTTATGAACATAAGGTCACTTATTTATAACCCAAAGTATAGAACTTTAAAAAATCTCTATGAAAATCACACCTGCTTATTCTATATATCCTGGGAAAGTCATGAGACTTGATTAATGGAAACAAATGAAAGGCAGAGAAATGACGGACATAACAAAGGAATTTGGGGCATTGGAAGGAATACTGCAGAGACCTAACTTTTAGATGTTTAACAACTAAATAAATAAAATACAACACAATCATAAAATGGGGGGGGGGAATTAAATGCCACAAAAAGGAATTAACACTGAATCAACATCTAACAGTTTGATTCTTCTAATATTATGAACTCACTGCCATTGAATCAATTCCAACTCAAAGTGACCCTATATAGGCTTTCTGAGACAGTACACCTTATGGGAAGAAATCCCCACATCTGTCTCTTGTGGAGCTGTGGGTGAAGGTTTGAACCTCTGGTCTTATGGCTAGCAGCCCAATACTTAACCCACAGCACCACTGAGGTTCTTTTACTATTGTGAAGACCACTCTAAAATAAATTATTCTTACATCTACATTTTCTTCAGCAATGGCATCTCCGGCACCCAACTTAATAGAGCTACAACTTGCTTCATCTTCAGCTTGTCTATTACGAAAAGTTAGAGCTTGTTCCCATCGACGTAATGCCTCTTCAAACAATTCCATACCTAAAAAGAACAGAACAAGTGTGAATAAGCAAAAGCAATGCCAAAATAAAGTCATTTAGATGTGGAAAGTTTCTCTACAGTTATCAATGAGAGTGAGTGTAATTTTGTCTGACTATAACTTGGGCACAAAACAATAATTTCGTATCACTTCATAGTACAACCTTAACTTCTCAATATATCAGAGTCTCCAGATCTAGTCCATAATTCAAGCACATTTGAACTAGGGTGTTGGCAAACACAGTGGAAGTACCGGGGACTGCCAGAGAATAAACAAGCCTGTCTAGGAAGAATTATAGGCAGAAAGCTCAGTTGCACACAAGACAGTCAAACTTTGCCTCCTGCGCTTTAGATGTGTTATCAAGAGAGACCAGTTGTTTAGTTTTGTTGTGCATACGGTTGCTAAGAGCAGGAACCTAACAAGAGCATCGAACATCACCACCACAGTGCTAGCCAATCAAATATAGGAGAAAAACAGCAAATATGTTGTTATTATTTTTAAATGTAATTCAAATAAATAAGGTTCTGGGGAATTTTCTAAAATAATGCTATGAATTCATAAGAAAAGTTTTAAAATTAGCTCATTTTATAGATACAAAACTATCTTTCTAACTGTCCTAAATTAAAAAGAAAACTGTTGAAAAATATAAATAGAAGGGGGTGGGGGAGAAAAAGATAAATAGAACAAACTATTTTCCAGAAGCTAGCAGGTTTACAAGAGGTTCTATAAAGACAGAACAATGCTGGAAAGATAGAGAACACACCGAAGTCAAGAAAAAAATTTTTTTCTATCAGTTTTCCCCAAGCAACATCCTACACTACTCTGATGCCAATTTGCTGATATGTATGGAAAAACTACTAGACCTGAATTAAGAGCTCAAAAAAAAACTACTGGAAGAACCATTATGTTAGGTAGGTAAAACAGATTAGGTGAGAGTGATTCAAATAGATTCATTAGAAAAAGGCAACACTCCACTCAAGTACTCCCTCAACGCAAGAATACTTTCTTCTA